ACCCTTGATGACAGATTTTGTCTCTTTTTAAGGCTTAAGATTCACCAGAAACATTTTTATTGCTAAGAATTTTATTATTTCGTAACGACTCCAACATTAATGAAAGAGTTGATTCTAGAAGAGGTTCAAGTCACCACAGCTTATAATTTATGCTACAAATTTAAACATTAAATAATGTCTGTTATTAAAACAAGAAAATATTGCATTTGAGCGAACCTAACTACATGTAGCGTAAATCTTAAGCACAACGATTGTTAGGATAAAGGATTCTAATTAAAGCTAACCTTCCAGAGCTGGTGGTATTCTCGGGAGTTTTGGAAATGATTTTAGATCGATAAGACTATATCTGATGTTTCAACAATTACATAACCCTTTCTATTATTGCATTATTTAGAAACTCAAATAGTCTATTAAATCCAAAAATATCAGGCTTAAGCCCAAAATTTGAGCTAACGAAAATCGTCCTTGCAAAAAATGTACCAGGAAATATTAAGTAAATCCGATAGGGTGTATAATTCTTAGCTGAGGCGACAGTTTCACTTCTAATTATGTGATTTAGCTCCAGTTTTGCATAAATTAATCCCAAATGTCAACCTAAGCTCCATTATAGAATGATTTGACCACATCGTGTCCAATAGCACTGATATGAATGATAACCACAAGATTACACTTTTTAAGAATGACCTATTAGGTAATGTTGGTAGAACTTAGAAAGTATCTTTCACATATTACAAAATGGTTTTGGGGTGATAAATTGATAAATTGATTCATAGGTAGTTGAGGAATCAAGACAGAACCAAGTATATAAAGTTTTTGTAGAACAAAGAATAATAAAATTGATTAAATAAACAAAATCATTCTAAGTTTCATAACTTTCTGTTTAACTCAATCAGCTGTATTGCTGGTTAACATTTCAACTTAATAAAATTGTGAACAGGTTAAATGCAAACACAGAAAGTGTAAATCCTTATATTTAAGTACTAGCAGAGTATCCGTCCTTCGTACGGGGTTAGCATATAAGTTTTCAACTTGATAAAATTGTGAACAGGTTAAATGCAAACACAGAAAGTGTAAACCCTTATATTTAAGTACTAGCAGAGTATCCGTCCTTCGTACGGGGTTAGCATATAAGTTTTCAACTTGATAAAATTGTGAACAGGTTAAATGCAAACACAGAAAGTGTAAACCCTTATATTTAAGTACTAGCAGAGTATCCGTCCTTCGTACGGGGTTAGCATATAAGTTAAATGCTTATTGCAGTTATACTCAAGCTTTGCGTTTGCAATGGGGAGGAAAAAGTTTGATAACATTTTCTTCATTAAATTTACGGTATACTAATGGTATTACACATCTACCATAGCCATAATGTTCAACCACTTCAACTAAACAATAAAGAAAAATAAATTATTACGAATTCACAAAAAATCACAAATTATTTATGACATCAAAAACATAAACATAATCATAAATAATCCTACTTTGATAGTTCTCATTGCGTATCACAGTTTGTTGTTGCTGCTTAGCAAAAAAAAAAAAAAAAAAAAAATATTGTGCTACACCCTGTTGGTAAATCTTAACTTTTTAATGCATTTGTATATCATAGAACCCACTTCTTTAGTTGAAACAGCTGACTAAATATTTTAATTCCCTTTAAATATGAATACTCATAAGGTTAACATGGGAAACTACAGAGCCACTGGGGCGGAGCCCGAAAGGATTTTTGAGACAAGAATATGCCTATATGTTAATCGGGAATGTGAGCTATCGTCATGCCAAATTTCAGCCCAATCCGTCCAGTGGTTTATGCGTGATTGAACTTCAAACAAACAAACACACAAACTTCCACATTTATAATTATTAGTAAGATAAGATTATTCTGTTTGACCTTGTCTTGAAGGTGTACTCTTTGCTAGGCCTACACTTTCTAGGTTCGAATGTTTAATTAAATGAGCTGTAAAAACTATTTTAAAAGTATGAAAATATTGCGGTTTTTGTATTGTTCCTGTACAATCATTTGATAAAAAACTTTATAAAGTGTTGTTGGTACATTAAACTTAAAAGGACAGTTTTGAAATACATTAAGGTTATACAAACTGACAAATAGCCTTAAATATGATTTTATATAGTTCAAACAACAATTACCAAATAATATATAATCAATATTTTAGTAGCAAAAACATAAAATGTATGATTAGCAATAATTTAAAAAAATCTGAATTCGAGGTAATATTTGATGGTGCATAGGTAATTAGGTAATAATGCATTATAATCTGTGTGTTAAATGGTTATAGTGCAAATGTATGCATGCATGCATAGGTAAAAGATGAAATTGGTCTGTGAAAAATGTGATTGAAAAGTGAATATGACCTTCAAAAGAGCTATATTTGTATTTTAAATTGGTTCTTTGGTGACATTTTCTTGCACAAACTGCTCCTTAACCGGTCAACTATAGTCTGTATGTCGGAACCTGTCTCCTGGCCCTTCTTCTACCCGAGCCTGAGACTTCAACAGGCCTTAAACCATTGGCCAGCCCCCAGATAGACGGGTGGGTGAGGATACAGGTTCCTTAATACAGACTATAGTTAACGAATAATTTGTTTAATGCTTTCACAACTGGATCTAAGCCCTGTAGAGCTGCATCTTCTGTGTAAGGTTGTAATTGAAACAACTTCATGACACGGCCCAAAACAAAATACAAGTTGCAAAATTTGACTGGGTTGGAATTCTATAGGATTGTTCAAAATTGTCAAAAGGTTTAGTTATGTTAAAAATAAAACCAATACATATTAAATGGTACGTAATATATTTTATTATACATAAATAACACAATAAACACTATATTATATACAATGTTGAAAATTGAAACATATGTTACAATTAGTTTTTTATTGGTAAAGCAGTTGTAAATTCCACAATGATTTTCAATATTTCATTCAAACAAATTTTGTCTGTATTAAGTAAAAAGTTATGAGTTTTTGATTAAGTAGAGTGTTAATTTTCATTCGTTGATTGCAAACAACATGCATATTTACAATTCATTAATGCATATAAATCTTTACTTTCATATTGTTGAGCGTTAAAGAACTAAATGATTAAATTTCATTGTACAATATTGAACAAGTATCTAATGTAAATAGTCATGTAAACAATGATAAAATAGAGAATACCTTTTTGCTGATCATTTATTCAAGCAAAAATATGTAATTTCACAGCTGTAGTAGTAGTTATATTGTTTTCAAACATGTTAAAACTAGATAAAGAATATTTATATGAAACCATGTCCTCAAACTACTACAGCAAAAATATTTGAATTGGATGTTATGTTATTATCATATTTGAATATTTAGACGGGTCGTCATTGTTGTTAGTATCTTTGAATTTTATTGGACAATATTTAATTTACATTACTCACAAATACATTCACAATTTACATTACCATACAAAGGAGAATATTTTTTTACACAAATAAAGAGTGATCATAATAATACTGGTATTGGTATTGGAATGGCTATGTACAAGCTAAAAATAACTGTTTCACATCTTAAAATTTCTGTTTGGCCTAACTTCAATAAAAATTATGTATATGTAGGTCTACTAATTTTTACAAATTCAGAATATTAGATTAAATTTTACTACAAATGTTATCAAATAAATTTAAAAATTAAAATTTGCATTCGATAATTTAAATATAGAATAGGCCTACGTATTATTTTTACAAACAAACAAACTCTAACACCTTTGATTTAAGTTAATGCTAATATTGTATTTACTATCAGAAAAGTCACTATAAGTTTGAGTGCTTAAACAATCTGTACAGTTTATTAAAGTCTATAATAACGTCAATGAATGCGTTGCTCTTAATTGTAAAAATGGTAAGGAAACTTATACAAAGATGGCACATTAAATAAATAACATCACTTTAGTAGAGCTAAACAGGGGGCTTCTTCATGGAGAAAAATTATCTTAAATTCAGATTTCAACAACTGCAGTTCCTTAATTTCTAACAAACGATAATCTTCAAATAAATATATTGACTACAGATCCGAAATAGAAAAAAATACAATGTTCTTACTGCTGTTCAATAAATTTGAATGGTAACTTATATTCTGTACTTGTTGATGGCGTTGTCCAGCATGTATCATGAACTCTATTTTAATCTGATGATAGGAAAACTGTGTCTTATTATTATTATTGCTCATACTTGAGCAGATGTTTTGACCTCATTGTAAACATCAGCTATCGAAGCACTGAATCACAACATTGTATTTTGGTTTGAGCTAGAATTCTTATTTCTAAAGATTATGTAAACTTTACTTTTTAGTAGTCAGTTTCAAATGGTAATTTTTTTGAAATTTCAATTACAATTCTGATTGTTGTGAAAACTCTACATCATTATTGAATGGTTGTTGATAAAAAAAGCATTTTCAATTACTAACTAAACAGTGGTTTAACTAATCGTGTATCGCATTATTTTACAATTGAATTTTGGATACGGAAGTAGACATACCATCGATATAGACCAGCTGTTGCCAATTTTTATTAAAATAGAGTATAGGTGAATTAGCCCCTTTTCAACTGCCAAAATATCTTTCTTTCCTTCAATTGTTGATATAACACAATCTATAGCTTAATAACTTGTTTATTCAGTATGCTTTGGTTAAAAGCTGGAGAATCAGATCTTGACATTAGCGTATCTTGTCGTTGGCTTAATTTATCTACGTTCATTTTGATTTTAAAACTGGTAACAACTTTAACATGGGGATGGGATGTCTAGTTCTATCCATATTCAAAGAATTTAGTGTGGTATTGAGATTATTAATCATCAAATCAAATCAAATTGTTCATCAAAGCCCTACATTTTTGTAGTCTGTGACTACAGAATTGTTTTTAAATTCAATTCCAACTCAAAAATAATATAAAATCTACTTTATTAATTATTTTAAAACCTAACTCAATCGTGTTGAGATGTAAATAATTTATTCAATTGCAACCCCCTGTTCAGCACCGCACTTTACACCATTTGCAGTCCTTTGGTGATACTCTCCACGTGTTCCTTCGCCTTTAGCCTGAGGGCGGCGATGCTGGTCGACCTGGGGTCCTGGGAGTGTGGGTGCGGGTCCGGGGAGGGGGTGGACGGCTTGACAGGCGGCGGCTCGGCGGAGGGGGGCAGAGACGGTGGCGTGAGGTAGCTGGGGTACCCGGTCTGAGGATGCGCCAGGAACCCGGGCAGAGCGCTGAGCAGCGGTGGTGCCAGCCATGGGTCCACCGGAAGAGCCAGGGATGTCCCTGCCATACGTCCCAGGGTCCCTACCGTCTGGTGGTACTCGCTGATCCCCAGACGAGCTGCCTCCATCTTCTCCTGCCGTCTCCATTTGGCCCGTCGGTTTTGGAACCAAACCTGAAAAAGAGTGCGGGTTAGTATTCTCTGTCTACTCCTTTTATCTATGGTATTCTGAAGATTCGGCGAGTGTGGGTTGTATTCTGAAGATTTAGTTAAAGAGTTTGCTTTGTATTCTAAAGTTTTAGTGAAAGAGTGTAAGCAGATATTCTTAAAAGAGAGTGAGGTTGTATTCTGAAGTTGATATAGTTTTCACCTGGTTTCAAACAAGTGTCAAGTTTGATCTTGAGAAAAGTCAAACTATTTTTACAGTTCGAACCCGGACAGAGCTCTACTTGAAAATCGGGCATATAATGATCCTGGAATAACCAGCTGATCTTAATCAGTAACAAACTGTCCTCTTCAACTTACAAAAATACCATGATGAGCTGGTGTCGTAAATGATCTCCGTGTATAAGAAGTAAGTCTACGGTTAAATGCGTGGGTAGAAATTCTCTAAAGGGAGTTGGTTGGTATTTGGACCAATCCCCTCCTGATTCCTTCAACATGTGAGTGTAAATTATCCACAATCGTAAACTTTGAGATCAAAAACTTCGTAGAATAAAATAAAATTAATAATAATACTAACTATACACAATACCATAGTGAAACATCCTCACTACAATATAGCATTCACCAAGAGGAAACTCTCAAAGTACAAAATATTACTTTAATCCTACGACACGACAGTAACGTTATTAATTGCAAAGCTCTAAACACAAAGGCTAATAAAAGACGGGTTAAAGCAATATTGAATTATCATATTAATTACAATGTAATTGTTTAGCCCGCTATAATGCTTGATAAACTCTAAAGTTGGCCGTGACAACAGAACCTATTAGAAAGCTGAACGTAATTATTCGTTGTTTGCTGATGTTATTATGTTTGTGAGGCAAAACACACTATGCCACTTAGCTGCTAAATTAATTAAACCTTTGACTCTATCGATCCTACGCGAAGGAAATCACTTTTGGATTCGGCAAACTTCAATTCGAGAGTTGTCTCAACATGTATCTGGAGATGTGTAATGCTGGACAAGTATAAGATTTATCAATATTCTGCAATTTATTACTATAAATTGAAATGTAATTGTGTAAAATTTTTTCTCTATTTTACTCAAATGTGATATCAAAGTTAATAAACTTTTCATGCCTATTTGTTTTTATTATTCTATGTGGATTTGTAATCGTTAAACTACCAAAATTGACTGCCTTTTTATTGAACATATTTGAACCATCAGTTACTTATTGACGATTGGATGAACAAAATAATGAACTGAAATAGACGTTGGTCAATGACTTTTACTTGTTACATACAGTATTTTTATAGAATGTTTACGCTTGAATCTAAATCTCAAAACTTGCTAAAGGCCTACGTCACTCCTCTATACAGTATGCATGTATAAGTTTTAGTTTATTTTATATACTAACGAAGTAAAAAGCAATAAGACCCCAACCCAATACAAAGCAAAATTGACCTCAAGTCCAAAAGCAATCTTAAACCCGGGTTTTGCATCATTAAAAGCCCTCAAACACACAAAAGCTTAGAGAAAATACGGTTAGACAGGTCATTAAAAATTTAACTAAACTCATTATGGAGTTAAAAGTTCGTGGAAGACAATAAACGGAAAAATCAACGACGGGGTTCACAAAGTCAATTAAAAATGTGAAGAGAGTTTCAGCAGGGTTAATGAGCGAAGCGATGTTAATGACACATTTGATGCGGAGCCGAATCGCCAACTTTAGTAATTATAAGATGCGCGTAGAACAAACGGGTTAACTGTGAAGAGCGTAATTTCGTCTTCCACATCAATTTCAAGTGCGCAAGCGCATTAGATTAACAAACCCTATTAAAGATGCACACATAGTGTTGCTATAAGCCGCGTAACTCATTAAAGACCCCCTCTCGCCCTCCTTGCTCGCTTGTTAATTACTATATCCCTGGAACCCTTCCCAACTTTCTAATACATTTAAGTTGTCATGTTAATTTATCTGTTGGATTGCTCTGTTTGCAGTTGTGTTTGTTGATAGTTTTTGAATTCCATTTATCTATAATAGGTTGGTTTCAATCTATTCGCAACGAGATATTTCATGGTTATGAAGTATTAAGTAACTATTGTTTGTTAATTTCTTAATTTTGCCAACAGCTTAAGTTGAACAAGAATGTTTTTGGTTGTATTTGATCAGTGGAATTTGGTATAGGAAGACCCCCAAGTGAGACTGTTCTAAATACCAAATCAGACATGAATAGTATTATTGTTTTTTTAGAGTTAAGAAATTTTTACAAATTATTTCAGATGTACTGAGAAAAAAAAACAGTTACGACGTTTTCATATAGCATATAGCCATTAGTGATAACCAGTTTCTAATAAAAAAATAAACCAAAAAAGTATTAATCCATTATTACAATTAAACAAAATTATTTTCAGAAACTCCCTGCGTAATTAATATTTGTCCTAAGCAAAACACTAATCCAGATCATATTAATGTAAGTGTACAATTATTTGTTTCTAAATACATTTTTCGTAGTACATTTACAATCACTTTTTAAACAATTCTTGTGTTAGAAAGTACTTAAGTGGCCTAAACTGAATAGCTAACATACGTACACACTCATAAGTTATTCTGGATGCATATTCTTTACAGGACTTTAAACTGATCGTAGATTTGTGTAATTTCATGGTACGGTCCCGCTCCTAGTTAGTGAATTAGCGAATTTGTTTTCCAATTGCTCTCGAATTGTTTTTAATTACGTTCGACTGTGTAGTGTGTGTATAGCGTTAATGGATAGTTTTGTTCCTAAACGAAACGCAATTTACAATATAAACAATTCATCATTGATCGAAAGCCATTGTAATATTTGTAATTCACGTGTAACTGGAAGTTTTACGATTATTATGTTGAATCGGTGGAGTTTGTTTTCAATCATTATGTTTTTCACTGTTGCTGAATTGTTCATTCTGTGATTGTATCGTTGAAAATACTCTTTTTGTTTAACAGTTTTGCATGGAATCACTATTTTATTCGAATACAACATAAATTTAGGTGGGCGATTTTTGTGATGTATTGAATTAAAATTTGACTTTCCAAACGAAATATGAAAACGAATGGTGACTTTGAAATAGAGTAGATTTTTTGACGAAAATTACTGTGTTTTATGAGGCGTTTTATATTATTATTGTTAGTATTATTATTAGATTATTTTTTAAGAGTTTTTAGAATTTAAGTGCTCTGACACATGCCACTAAGACGAATATCGAGTTTATCAAGCACATTCAGAATTTTACTTTTGAATCCATTCCGTCTTTTTCTGGACCTATCTTTACATACCAGAAGACAGGATTTAGCCTGGTAACGTATAACACACCTACTTAAAGCTAGTCCTACTAGTGTGGCAACACCACATGTCCACATAGCTATTTGCGGGATTTCAGCCCTGGAACACGGCAAAACGTCTGAATTAGCACAGGGAACTTCGATTTCGTTGTTAGCATTATAGCCCATGCTAGTAAAAATCAATCATGTGAAACAATTTAAAATTACTTTACCAATGTTTTTAAATGAAATCCTAATCAATTTTGACCAACTTTAAAAGATATCTGAACGGTGCGGAAATTGGCAGAGAAAGTTAGGTATAGCAAAAGTTGCGACTTAAAGTACACAAAAGTTAATTGGTGTATTAGTAAAGTACGGTCGGCAAGGGGACAAATTGGCTTAGTAAGGCATAACAAAGTGAGCTCGTCGTTGACAGGTCGCCAAAGAACAGGAAATTTCAAAGTCTCGCTTCAATTTCTGCTCCCCCGCCTCCGGCCCGCCTCGTCTTATGACATTACTTTGTTAAAGCTATTGTGAGGCTCTGGAAAATGAGTTTCATATGAAAAATTGAAGATTTAATAAAAGGACGAGAAAGGTTGCGGCGACGTGATTCAGTTTCTCGGACGAGTTTTGGTTTAACCCATTTCTTTCCTTATTACGTATACAATGTTCACTTGTTTCGGAGAATAATGTTACGGAATGATTAATTAACTGTTTTGTAGCTATTCTTTGTTATTTTTAAGCGTCGTTGACGTAGTTGGTTGAATTTCAAATTTTAAAAAACTAAAAATATTTTAATTAACTCATCATCCGGTTATACTATGTTTTAGAACTGTAGGAAGGTAAAATTAGAGTACATTTTGTTAGTCTGTTGACATTTAATGTGGTTAATATAGTTATATTTTCTACGGTGAAATCTCAAACTACTTCTTATTTTTTGGGTTAAAAACATAATATAGTTTTTTTTGTTCCACCTTGTTTCTAGTCCAGAACTGGTTTAAAATTATTTCAGACATTGGTGATCGTGAGATCATCAAATAACTAAAAGAAGAGCAATTATAAAAAATAGTGTGTGTTGCTAGCCTGGTGGTTAGCGACTCGGACTTTGGTGCGGGAAAGGCGGGTTCAATTCCCCCCAACATCCACAGCACATGAGTTTGGACCGCTTTCTATAAAATTTTAATTTCCGAATCCTGTACATTGTAACGGTCCCATATGGCTCTCGTGTAAAAATGCCACTATGGTCAACATAAAACATATATTGGTATTTGGCAGGATTCGTACCCGGGACGTCAGGGATTGCAATCCCGACCAGTTTGCCACCCTGGTACGCAACAGGATATTGAAACGTCATACAAAAATACTCTTCGATAAAGTAAAAAAATACATCTTAAAGCAAGTTCTAGCATCCACATATTTTCCTCAATATAATGTAGTAAATAACTATTATTCACGTTTCAAAATCAAACATTAACATAATGACTCGTGCGCCTTTCCCTGCCTTTTGGGACCGAGATGCGCGCGTCTAAGGCCAGAGGCAGCCAAATTGTCAATTATTAGATAAGTTGTTAATCAATTTGGGCCGCCGGTATCCAGCCTCCTGATTGGCTAACGTAGCAGTGGAGGGGGAAGTAGGGGTGGGGGAACGTCAACACAAACCTAATCAAGACTGTTTTTCAAGACGTTTAACGAGTTTAGCTCAGCTTT